CTAATGTTTCCAAATTTATAATCCCTTGTCAGACAGCCCGACAATACAAGAATCAACCAAACTGGGGGTCCAAATACATAGTCTTGCAGCATAAGTATCTTATATTGTCAAACTGATTGGAAAGAGAACACGCGCCTTTTTGTTTCATACCTCTTGGTTGAACTGTGATCTTCCTTGTGCGGCATCTGGACGTAAAACCTTAATTGCAACAGGAGTATGGTCAAGATTACACCTATATACAGGACCGTAACCTCCTTCTCCAATCTTGCGGGATTCTGTAAAGAACTCCGTGGCAGCCTCAATCTCTTCAATTGAGTACTTCCTATACCTGACATCCGACTGTTGCAGAGCGCTAAGTGCCTTCTTCTTCTCTTCGTGTTCTTTGAGTGCTTTCATTTCTGCATTGATTCTTTTTTGTGCTTCCAGTTCTGCAATCCTCTTAGCCGCTTCAGCAGCCTCAATGGCTGCTCTGGACTTAGCTCTCTCCTTTTCTACAATAGCCATTGCGGTTTCCTCAGCTAGCCGCGCCTCTTCCAATCTCCTTTCTTCTTCTAATTTCCAGCGCTGGAGTTCTACAGCCTGTAAAATAACATCAATTATCAGACCTATGTGAAATCACGAAGTTGTAAAATGTTGATAGAATTTCGCCTACCTTTTGCTTCGCCGAGAGTGCCTCTTTACAGGCAGTGCTATACATTTCCATAGTTTGCTTGAGCTCCAGCTTTAGCCTTCTCATTTCAGCCTCCATGTCTTCCTGAAATTCGAGTGACAAAAAACATTTGTATTGTAACAAAATTTAACTGGAAGTACAAATTCGTAAATTAATAGAGTCTAGATGCTCTTACCATTGATGCAGAGGATAACCTATCACTATCCTGAGAAACCGAAGAGAATGTGGGTGGAGAGGAGCTGACATCCACGGACCTCCGTCCAAAGTACTGCACAGACTCAAAGCTGTGGTTCAAGTCTATTTCCGTGCTGTTGGACATTCGTGGTGGGGTGACTCTTCCTGAATCTAGGTTTTCGTTATAAAATGCAGGGAAGATACGGTCAATGCTCGGCCTTCCAGAGCTAACAAAAGATATATCAGTATCCGGCATAGGGAGATCTGCATACGACTTCCCGTTCGGGCCTTTCCTAGTAAACGGAGACCTGCTTCCCATGATATTACAGTTAGTTCTCACAACAAAATAGATAAATTGCTTTATGTTTTAAAAACCATTTTGTCCATCTTCATTGAAAGGGAGAGATTGAGAGCTGCTACTGACCTGAAGTAGTCCATTTCATCGTGGGATTGACGTGGCGGTTCTGGTGGCTTTTCATTTCCTGGAAGAGGATCCAACATTTTAAGGTTCCTTGACTTTCAAAAAATTAGTGGGAGATGATTATGCTTAAGGGTGAAAGAAACTAACCTTTGTTACCCGAAGGAGGGAAGACGTATGGCTCTGACTTTGGGCTTGGGGTGTGGTTACGAGCTGGGTTGCGTAGGGGTGAGACAGCCGGGGCAGGACGTGAGGCGGCCCTCCTTGATTGGAGTTTTTGCTTGGATACAACATATACATTACAAAAGTCTGGTGCCGCCTTTGATATGTTTCCTGGAATATCTGATGCTTTGAATCTACATAAAATTTATAAAAAAATGAGACAGTGTTCTGTGGAATTTCAAGGCAAACAAAGCAACGTAACGCCCTAAAGAATTGGTTTCATAGTTTCAGAAATTTAAACTTGCAATCAAATAGCACAACTAGGAGGGTAAATAATTTGTTCAAGGGCAGCTGACTTAGAAACGAAGGTACTTACCTGAGAAAGCCGGTTTTTGCTGAGGCACCAACAACCAAATGCTCGATTGCAGTTTGAGTAACGTATTCAACTAATGCTTTCGTTACATCGGAGTCTTCTAGTACAAGGTCTCTGCATTGTATCTGAATTTGAAAAAGAAAAGATAACACACAAGTAGAAAAGCAATAAAAATATTCAAATCCTAAACAGATGTGTAATTGTTCATGAACCCTAAATGAATATAATTCAAGAATGCAAGTATAAGTTCATCAAACTCACATTTTTACGTGTGCAAAAAACACGAAAGGGAAGGAACAATTCCCGGGTTTGGGGATCAGGGTCTTTGCATACCAACTGTTGGTCCCAATTTGGATTACATCCTGCAACCAAAAATCAAACACCACAATGCAAAATCTTGAGGTGTGATTTAACTTAACTTGCATATCAAGCAACAGAAGAAGAAAACGGGAGCGTAAAAATCACTGGCCTGAAAATGAAAACATAGGCAATATGTACGTACTTGGGGTGGAATTGGAAAGAGAATGCGACTGAGAAATTATGGAATGCTTGACCTTGACATGGATGAGAAGAACAGATTGGCCTGGTTTGATGAGACTGTCAATTGCCCATTTGAGAGCACATTGGCTGTTCTTGTCCCTGTCTATTGCCACTGCCACAATCCCATTCCCTGCTTCCTTCTTGTCCACTTGATTATTGGGTAGCCACATTTCTTTCTTTCTCTCTCTCTCTCTCTCTCTCTCTCTCTCTCTCTCTCTCTTCTTTTCCTGTGCTTTCTTAATCTTAAGAAATAAGAAGAAAAAACCAAACAAAAACAGCAAGAAGAAACAAAAAATCCAATGCAAACTACCAAACAAAGCCTTAGAATCCCAGAATTAATAAGGGTTTTCAAATTTTTTTTTGGTGGGATTTTAAATTTTATATCTTTGTTTAAGCTTCTTTATCTCTCTTTTGCAGCAGGATCTCTAAAGAGAGACAAGAAGGATTTGCGTTTCAAGTATGTGTTGTGTTTGTGTTGACTTTAATGTTACTTTTTTTGTTGTTTGAGAGCAACCAAACAAGAAGAAGAAAAAGCACTTTTGGGAATAACAGACTTCTTTTGATTTTTCACTGGTGAATCCATAAATCTCTCTCTCTTCAATTGGGTTGTTTTTATGAGAGACCCTCCACCATTTGCGGATTGTTTTGGTGTTTTAACCTCTCCCTAACTAATGACTATATTTTTGTCACTCAGTCAACCCTCCCTCTCCTTCAAATTCTCACCCACTCTGCACAAGGACAAGATTTGATCCATTCTTAATGACAATGCATGAAAAAATGTAATTGTTATTCATTTTTAAAACAAATTATAAGAATTCGGACAACAAATTGACTCACAGATTACGAAAGATCAGTCACAACTCACAACGTGCACGTCAATTCCACAAAAATGAATGGTTAGGATGAGCACATGCGTGCATCGGCAACTCATTTGAGCAATTCTCTATAGGTTATAGTCAATGTGAAACCATTATTTGAGAAGTCAAGAGTCAAGATTTCTTCAAACAAGATAACTTAATCTAAACTGCATATTAATGAAATATTCTTTGTCAATCAAAAGAGGGTGAAAATATATTTTTGTCTTCTATCACAACAAAAAAGTTAAGAACAGTAATGTAATTTCACAAAACAAAATTTTGCTGTTTTCTGTTTAAGCCTCACCTACATGTAACTTTATCATCTCTAATTTTTAAAAAGTAAAAAAAAAAAAAAAAAACCTCTCTCCCTCCCTCTCCACTCCAACGTTCTCTCTCACTCTTCCACTCTCCTTTAATTTTTAAAACAAAAGTACAAATTTTCACACATTTTGTGTATGGCCATAAGTTGTATTTATGATTATGTTCCACATCTTTCTTATTGGATTTTGTTTTTCTTGTAGGCCAAAGAAGCTTGCTATGTTTATTATAAATAAAAAAATAAATTGGTGAGAAAATACATTGCTAAAGAAGTCTGCTATGTTTATTATAAATAAAGAAATAAATTGGTGAGAAACTACATCACAAAAATTCTCCAACTCTTTATGCTCTCTTTTTCCCCATACTGCTCCTTTTTCCTATTCCCTCACTAAAATACCCCTACAACAAATATCGTTTTATTTGGGAATATGACAATATAATAAAAGAGTAGCTCTATTGTCACCGATGTTCAAATCATTTATTTGTCCCTATTGCAACACTAGTTAGGCAGAGTGGCAATATGTAAAATTAAATATGATATAACAACTCATGCTCCGTGAGTATTTATCAATAATAGCTAAAATTTGACATCTCATTTCATAAATGTCATATTTTACAAAAACTTTCAAATATAGCAAAAAACTCATGTAAATAGACCTAAATACCCTCAAAATCCCAAAACTTATTTGCATAGAAAAGCCAAAGCCCTTGAATAGATCTCCTCTACATCGTTGTTCAAAGTAGGAGGCCACGAGGACAGTTGGTAAACGTCGTGGAGCAGTTGCGGGTGTTGTCCAACTGTCAACTCATTGAGTACCGACTTGAAAATTTGTTGGTCATGTGTAAAACTCAAACTCAATTGTTACTGTTGATATAATATCATCACGATAAAATATTATTTGCACAATCAATTTAGCAGACGTCATATTAGTTGAGGATTCTAACTCATTGAAACCAAATTCCAACTCGACTGTGCTTACAAATTTTCCTTAAATTTGTTGGATGACAGGGATTTAAAACCATAACAGTTTTCACAAGCGGATCATTCCAATTAAATTCGTGCTTCTCTTCCCCGCAAATCTAATTAATCTATAAACCCTATTAGCAAGTTCAAAATTGTAACGGATTAACCAATCAAAACTAAATAATGGAGTGAGGGGGTGCGAAAATGCTGCTCTCAAAAATGGGGCTAAAAATATTAATCCATGTGCAGAAAGTTTTAAAATTTTAAACATATATAGTTGTGGGTGGGGAGTTTTGCCACTAATTTTTATTTGGTTTTAATTTTGCGGGTATTTAGGTTTGTTTAAGTAAGTTTTCTATTATATTTGAAAGATTTTATAAAATGTAACATTTATGAAATTGAGTGTTAAATTTTGGCTATTATTGATAAAAACTCATGTTCCGCAAGAGGCTCGTAACTGTAATAGTTAAGAGCATTTACTTATGCACCAAGATCACGATTTCATACTAACTTGAGATGAGAGCTAGAAGTACACACCTTTCAAATTTTTTATTATAATACAAATATTTTACAGTACCTTTGAGAATATCCAAATTTCATAGTTCTTAAACCCATTTTTACAATGATTTTTCTACGCAGTTTGGATGAAGATCGTAATCACAAACACCGCAAGAAAATGCCCAAAACCTCCCCTGTTTTTGGCAATAATCACACACAAATGCTTTGGCCATCTCCAACTTAAGCAAATGTTTATGCTTCAAGTCCTTCAATTGAGGAGGCAATGCCTCTCCTTCTTTTCTCAATTCTGCTTCGAGCTCTGTGATCCTCGCTTCCGTGAACGGGAAGGCCTTGGCACCGTATAAGGAGACCATGGCCTTCCCATTTTTGCTAATCGCCTTCCCATTCGGTCCTATCAGAACCAGAGCCGGAATCACTTTGATGTCGAAGATTCTACAAAGGTCTTGTCTTGTTTTGTCCTGGTAGGGTATGGCAAGCCATGGCATGCTACTAGTGTTGAGTTCAAACTCTTTGAGGTCTCGGTCTGTGGAGACTAGGATGATTTCGAAGCCTTGATCACCGGAGGTCATGAGCTCTTTGTATGCTTCTATGAGTTTGGAAGTAAAAGCACGGCAAGGAGGGCTCCAATGTGCACCAAAGTAAAGGCCTACTGTCTTACCAACAAGTTCAGACACCTGTATCTGCAGGCGGCAATCAAATGTCAATTTTCGCGTATGCAAGCTATAACAAATTAACAACCGAAAGAAGTATGCTAAATTCTACCTCTCTGCCATCACTAGACAAGACATGGTTTCGTCCTTGATGCGTCAACAACTCTTCGATTTTTCCCCCCTCACGCTTTGCTTCATCGGCAGCCTTTAGCTCTTCTCTTCTCTTGTTAGTGAATGGAAATGCATCAGCTCCATAGTCTTCAATTAATCCAACCAAGTCTTCCTCAATTGATATTCCATCTGAACTTAATGAAATGAGTGATGGGATGCGATCTATGCAGTACATGTCACTCAATCTTTTATGAAGATTAGCATCGAATGGCACTGCCAGCCACGGCATGCACTTGAAGTGTTCATTGAACTTTTCCTCATCGCGGTCGAAGGATATGAAGATTATCTCAAACTCTTTTCCTTCCAATCTAAGCACTTCATAAAGTCGCACCAGCTGCGGGGTAAGAGCCTTGCAAGGCCGACACCAATTTGCAGAGAAGTAGAGGCACACTGTCTTCCCATTACATGACAACAACGGTACCTAATAATCTCGTAATCAAAACAAGATTAAGTTTTAATTATCATAACCAAAATAAGAACTTAAACCTCTAAGCAAAAAAGGGTTTCTATAAAACTATTTGAACCTCACGTTCCTATATTTTCGTGAAATTAACATATTTTGACATCCAACAACCGAGAAATTAACATGAAAAAATACTGATCGAAACAAGAGAATGAAGAACAGAAGCTTTTCGAGACTACATACCCTTGTGTCGCCGGATAGAAGGAACTCAACTCCTTCAGATTCGAGGACGGTTGCTATATTGCTGCTATGCACTGCCATCAGAACTACAAGCAACGTATGGCCTCCACCCTTCTTTTATATTTACCAAAACACAGATACAGTCACAAATGGAACGAAAAGAAAGCGTGACATTCACAAAAGTAGCTAAGACTCTGCTGCACAAGAATCTCTACTTCACATTACGCATATGTGTGTACGTCATCATGTTTTCAAGCTACAAACTTTTGGAGGCGGAGATGCTTCATCTATATTCAACAAGGGGATAGAATTTAAAACATTTTCGATACGAATCAATCCGTAATTTGTTATTCTCCCAAAATGTAATTCATCTACGGATAAGGGGAAGACATAGACATGAGGATGATTCGCCTAGTTAGTTATTCTCTCTTTTATAATTCTCCAATAAATCAAAGCACATGTGATACACATTTCTTATTAACTTCCGTGTTTGATTTAGTTGGCAACTCTTCATGCCATCTAGACAAAGGAATATTCCAACAAATGGTTCCTTGCTACGGAGGGCGTCCAAAAACTTATGCTTTCGTGAGAGATGCCTTGCATATGACGTTTTCGATAGGAGGATCTAGAACTTAGCAGCCCACGATGCGGCAAGCCCTCAAGCGTGTTACATAAATGGAATAAAGAACTTGCAACTGTGCAGAATCAGACCATGTTCTTATTCTAGCTCAACTATCCTTACAACTCACAAAGGAGGCCAAAAGGAGGGAGAATTCGAACTCGGGAACGAGGAGCGAAGGCAAATGCTCCCTAGTAGTCCCTACAACAACTTCATAAGTATTTCGCTAAGAGCTATGCTTGGGACCATCATCCATGTCGATAATTGTCAATTGTTAATGCATGTATATAAAACTCAACAAACGAACATGCATGCACATGAAAAACCATAAATCTTTCATCGTCGTAATTGAAAATCTGCAGATTACGTTGATAATCCGGTGGGAGTGTTGATGAACAGAAACAAAGATTATGGAATTCATAATTATAAATCAGATAAAATAATCCTCGAGTGAATCAAAGTTAGAGCAAATGAGTGTACCTTACAATTTTGGTAAGTTATTCCTGAACTCCTGGCTTGAATATATTATGCAAATTCCAAGGAATTAAAGCTGCAGAGAGTACTCAGAGAGAGAAGTATGGAGAAAAAGATGACAAATGCCAAGGAATAATAATAATACATAGAATAAAAAAAAGGTTGGATAAATAAGAATAAATAATATTAGGAAGGTATATCCATTTCACAGATTTAGATTCTCACTCTAACGGTAAGTCCTCGGCGTCACGAAAGACGTGTTCTTACACAGACGGTAAATCCTAAAAAAATATTTAAAAAAAAAAAATTTAATTTAATTTATTTGAAAAAATATTTAGAATCTTAGATAATTGAATATGTCACATTCAAACGATCGGATAAGGTCGACGGATTTCAAAGCCTGACCGAGTCTAACAACGCATGACAAATTGGAACCTCTCGTGGGCCAGACGGGTGGGGCGGAGTTGATACCGCAAGTTGTATTGCAGGACATCGCCGCAAGGCAGCATATATGTGACTGTCATCCGTTAATGAACAAAAATTTCACGGAAAAACTTATGTCAATCAATCAACCTTAATGAATATGAATTCCTCGGTGGGAACTACGTTCATCCATTGACGACGGCTGATAGTCACCCATCCGCACAGGGCCCACTGTGCTGAGCTATTGCAGTAAACATTCGGCAGACTCAAAAAAGTTCTGCACGATACAATACATCAGGTGCCAAATACAGATGTTGCTATTGAGTAAGCTTAGTTCTTACAAAACAAATAGAAAATTGATCAAACTTGAGAAACAAGTTACTAATCACTGTGACACGAACCAACGATACAGTCGAAGCATTACAAGGAGACAGCATGTTGGTCAATTGGCAACTTGAATCATGATCTACGCAATCGTTTTGAAATGGTTCACTTTTTCCTTCTTGAAGAAGCCCTAGTAAACATAGCTCTGATGTTATGTGATTCTGTCTCCATTTTCACCTTCTTCGCTTGCCTTCCGGCTTGAGTGGGCTTAATCTCACTCTTACCCTTTTTCCTGACAAAAATTTTAGCATGCATATGAAGATTAAAAACGAATCAGAATTAACCCAAATTTTTACTAGTCATGAGATATGGAAAGCATTTATCAACTCTAATAACTGTTTAGTTTGAAAACGCTCGGTTAAACATTTGAGTGCATGTCGTGTGTGTGTGTTTGGCTCACAGGAAAGAGTCCAGGCTCTACCCTGTAACCAAGTGAATTTTAATCTTTTTCTGATTTGTAAAGAAAACTGGTCCTATGTCTGGGACTGGGGGTCATACCTGTGAACCATTACAAGGCACCAGGTTACTTCCTGTGGCAGTCGGGAGAAATTCGATATCTGACATTTTTCTCGTTGCTTCTGTAAAATCTATCCTGGAAACACAATCAGAAATCCAGATTTAATACATAAAGAAGAATCATCACAATTAGCAACAATAAGATGTTCATTATGCATAGTTCCCAGATGTCAACAGCATAAGATTTATGAACCATTCTATATGCAATACCTCAAACAGTCAATCAAAAGCTTCAACCAGGGCTCATCCTTCACGTATTCCCCCAATACTGAAACTGCATCAGTCACTGCACCAGTAAAAGAGGTGAATTACCTATTTGTTTATGAAATGGTTTACTTTTACCATCCCATTATAGTCTTTGGCTACATCTCATTCCTTGACTGTCAAGTGAGTTCACTTAGCCCATTCAACATTGAAGAGATGAAAATTCAACACACACTAGAGAGAAAGAGGGGAGAAAAACAGAAAGGCCATAAATAAATTGTCTCTCACTGAAATTGTACATGTCTTTCTCTTCTCGTGCAGCATAATTATGGTCCAAAGTGGATATTGTCTGTTTTAGCTGACATACCTGCCACCACAGAACATAGATTATAAAAAACTTTGGACGACATTCTATGGATGACATAGACATGGTTATACATGGATATATTCAATAACCTCAACACGCTACAAACACTTGCACTTGCTTGAAACCCAGAACTTACCCTTCACCATATTAATTGGGGGAAGAGGTGTTACTGTCCCAGAAGACTAACTTAACAACACCAGCAGGAATAAGTAAACCAACGTGTTGATGGTCACTTGTGTCATGTGCGTACAAGTAATAAGAAGTGCCTTATCTTCAAAAAGTTAAACGTATAAAAGTAAACATCCATGCTTATCCTTCATGTATGGCTTTGATGCACGAATGATGTACAAATGCAGTTCTTAAACTGAAAGGTGTGGTCCGTCAAATACATATTTTATAGATCACGCTGTTTTTCAACAAGGTTTCATACCCAAAAACTAACTAAAACAGGGGGGATGGGGGAGTAATTCATCAACAATCATTAATCATCAAACATCAAAATTGAGCGAAATCAGATGTAGACAGACCTTGTGGTACAACCAAGCCAGAACCTTGGAATCATCCAGCCTAAAAAATTTGGAGGATCCGACTTCTGCACACAAAGAGGGAAACAAAAACCTTATCCACTTGAATACTATAACACAGTCCATTCTAATGTTTGACACTAAAATTTTTAAGAATTCAAATCACTTAAATTGGAAACTCCAACGAAACAAGTACATTGAAACTCAGGCTAACATATTGCCTCTTAAATTAGAGGTCATTAGTTCTGTTAGACATTGAAACCGTATTTCACAAGCAAAGTAAGATGCCATCATGCGACAGTACATGTTCATCGATCAATTTTACAAGCTTCCACCTAAAATTTGAATTACAAGTGCATGGGTAGTACCCCACCTTTTTTTTCCAAAAACTAATTGCATACAGTTCTCCGCAATGGACAGTAATTTATGGTATCCCGGATAGCCTTCGATGAAGATTATGTCATCTAAAAGCCTGAACTTCCCAGGATCATCCCCTTTCTGCATTTTTTAAATCAATGAAACAACTGCTGGGATCAAACGGGATAAAAATAATGTAAAAAAAAAAAAAAAAATCCTAAAACAAGATTCCTATGTAGGGTGTGGGATTAAAGCACCAAGGAGTTTCGGGTACCTTCATCCTAGCTTCTTCGAAAATGGGCAAGAAATGAAGACAGGGTCAACTGGAGTGGCAGTATATAACCGAGCATCTATATGTTATTGCAACAGAAATTAGCCAATGATCAGAATAATTCAATAAAATTTCAAAAAAATTAAACTTTAAAAAATGAAGAAAACAATATAGTGAAAGGAAAATCAATAAAGGTACAACCTGCAGTAACATATTCACCCAGACACCAAAAAGTGCAGGATTGCTTAAACCAATTGAGTTCCTGAAGTACCACCCCATTAACAAAAAGGTAGCACATTTTGTTTCCTGTTAAAAAATTGAATAAAAAACATGAAAGACGCCCTAATTTCCAAAATTTCAAGAAATTAAATGCTGCATTGTGCTATACCGGACTTGGGATGGCGGAGCGAAATCAATTGTCCGACGTCGTCTCCGGATTCAGTAGTATCTGTAGAATTTAGGGTTTAAGGGCGGTGCGAAGAAAAACTAAATTGAAAATTGGGAAAGAGAGATTGGGGAAGAAATTTACCTGCTGCGATGAGAAGACGGGTTTCTTCGAACCCTTCCCACCACGCCATTGAATAGAAAGCTTCCGTTCCTTAAACCCTAGCTGTTACTAAAGGCTAGTGAAACGAAACGAAAACGAAGGAGAAAGAAACTGGGCGAGCTCAGACATCTCCAATCAAGTGGGAAATCCCAGATTTACTTCGTCCATACGAGGTTAGTCAGTTTCCCTCCGAGAGTAATAGCTCGTTTGATTAGTGCTTTTACACAACTCAAACCGCTTTTAAATAAAATGTTTTTAGAATTAAATTTTAGTAAAAATGTAAATTACTTAAAGTGCCTACTCTTGTTTGACAAGTGCTTTTAAATGATTGAAAGTACTTTTAGAGAAAATACATTTAGAATTAAACCTTAGTAAAAATGTAAATTACTTAAAATACTTCTTCCACATTTACCGTTGTGTATGTGTTCGGTAAAGAGAAAATTTTTACTCGTGTGTCTTAAACTTAAAACTAAAGTTTGAGCCTTCTAAATCTTTAAACAAGGAAAATACTAAAGATATCACATTTTTGTACCATATTTGTGTATCATCTGATCTGATGTAGTAAGTGATATGTACATGCTACGTCAATTAATGAATATATTTTAGTGAATGTTGATTTGATAAAAATGTGGTCTCTTTGATTTTTTGCTGTAAAACCTATCATTTTATTTAGTTAATTTGATAATTAAGGGTTTTCCCCTTTATTTATGTAGGGAAACTGACAAATAAATGTGATTAATTTGACATCAATGTGCATGTTTTAAAAGATTAAGGGATCTCATAATTAAATTGAAAGTCGATAAAATAAATCAAAAGGAGATCATACATTCATGTGTAAATTCAAAAGAATGAAGTTCATAGAAACATGTCACATACTTACACATTACTAATACAAATTGATTGCAAATTTAAAATAAGCCTTCAAATAAAAATAGGATAAAAGAGAAAAAAATTCAAGGCGCTTTTTCTTTTCTTCGTCCGCCGTTGTTATTCATTGTTCCTCAAATTAGCGCCTTTATATAGATGAATCCTCCTAATTAACTTCCAGTACACGTTAATACATTTTTGTTTCCCCACCAAAACCCCTCGAAACTCTCTCAAGCATTAACAGAGAAAGAGAATTCATCCTCAGAAATAGCCCTAGAAGAGTACACATCCCCATCACTAGCATAAGATGAGTAGTCTTCGTCGTTGTCCCTCTCCTTTAACTCTTCAATCTTGTCCACAACTTCTCTCCAATCCCACCTCCCCTCTACACTGCTCTCACAGCAACACATCCCAATCTTCAGCAACTTCAGCATTTCACCTTCTCCGTTCGTCGTCCCCTTCATGTCCTTGTCAAACACTTCACCCGTCCACTCTTCTCTCACAACTGAGTTCACCCAAGCCGCTAAGTCCGCGTTCGCTCTCTTCCCCGGTTGGAGATAGTTTGCTGGGAATTTTCCGGTGAGCATTTCGAAGATGAGTATGCCTAGGCTCCATACATCGGTCTTTTTTGACATGCGTTCGTTGTGATATAACTCTGGGGACTTGAAAGCCACCATGAACTTTTGGGCATGGTCTCTGTTGACTAGGGGTATTAGGGCATACTCTGCCAAGAGAGGGTTGAAGTTGTGGTCTAGGAGCACGTTGGAAGACTTGAGGTGACCGTGGGGTACCGTTAGTCCGGGGAACTCTTTGTAGAGGTAGGCCAAACCCCTTGCCACTCCTTTGATGATCATCAACCGAGTTGGCCAATCCAACCCCGGCTGCCCGGGTTCTCGCTTAGCTGAGTTGCATGCAAAACATCACAGCGTCAGATGTGATCCGCAATGTGGTTAGTCGAGTTGAAGCTAGCCAATGTTGTTTTACATTGGACGAGTGTGGCCAATCAACTAATAGCTAGCTAATTGGGTTCATCTTGAGGTAGATACTAAATCATTAATTGTATAATAATCTAGAAATAGATTATTTGTATCACATTTACTGATTATATTGTTAATATATGTTGTGCATAAATAATACCGACTTATGCATTTAGATTCTACTTGAATTCCAACTTTGTAAAATTTGTGATTAATAAGTAATGTAATGACAGACAATAATAAGGTTACAAACATACCATGGAGATGACTAGCCAAGCTTCCATTTGCAACAAAATCATGAACCAAGAGCTTCTCTTCTTTCCTATAATAGAAAGCAACAAGTGGGAGCAAATTAGGGTGTGACAACCTCCCAAGCCTTCTCATGTGGTCATAAAAGTCATCTTTCCTCACTTGGTTCATTTGCTTAAACCTCTTCACAACCTTGGACCCACTCAAAAGCCCTGCCTTGTAAGATGACCCAAAGGACCCACTTCCCAAAACCTCAGCTGGGGCCCTCAGCAACTCTTCCAACTCAAAATTTATGTCCTTCCTCACAAAATACAACTCCCCTCCACCTCTCTCATCATTGTCCTTGAAGTTGTTATTTTCTTCTTCGGCTGCCAATTCGACCTCCATTGCGCCTGTGTCATGGTTGGCCCCCAGCTTGTTTTGTACTCTTGTCACTTGTTTTGATTGTGCTGAACGGGGTCGTTTGAGGCATACTACAATGAAGAACAAGATTGCAGCAACTGAGATGACTACGATGGCAATGATTATAATTACTTTCTTCTTTGAGGACTTGCATGCAGCCAGTGGCTTCCCACATAAGTCTGGGTTTCCTGTTTGTCAACACAAGAGACCCATAATTAGGCCCAAGAAACTAAAAATCGAAAGAACCCATTTTGTTTGATAAAAATAATTTGCTTAATAAACAAAGATAATGACATTATATCGACGTGCTTCCATTATATAAAAGATCGTGTTTGAGGAGATCAAGTTTCAACGATGAAGGAGCATGTCTCAATCTTTTTGTCAACGAATCGACGACTTTTTTTCTTCTTAAAATTGATTAGGTCTTGATTTTCTTTTTCTATTAATGTTTCAAACTTTTAGTTCTAAAATGAAAGTACAAAGTCATGCGATCACATATTTTTCTAATATATCTCATTTGTTAACATGACATTTAGACCGAATTTCCCCTTCTCAAACTCAAATGCACAATTAAATACATTTTAAGTTAGTGTTAACAATAGTTATTTACACGCGCATAAACGATTGTCAACTGTTGATGTATGTGAATTTCTAATGGAATTCGTATACATATCAATCACTAACAATCATATCGCATGATAGACGAATATTGAAAGAAAGTTCTCATTGCGACAAAGAAATAGAGTAATCGTGCACATCAATTTCCTAGTTCACCCATAATGGTAAAAGCACAAAACTGTCAAATTTCAAAGGAAAATCATGTGTGCACTGGCTGAAAACTAAACAAATAGAGCATTCTAAACTAAAGGTGGACAATAGTGAAAAAAAAATGAAATTCTTGAATTGATTTCTTACCGACGAAAGTGCTTGCGTCGGAAACTCTCAGGCCGGCCGGAATACGACCCTCGAGTCTGTTGTATGACACATTCAAAGTCTTCCATGCAATTGGATTTTGCGGAAAATTTGGTAGTTTCCCACTGAAATGGTTTCCCCGAATATCCATTTCCACAATCTTAGTCAAATCAGCCAACGATTTTGGTATTTTACCGGTGAATTCATTCCCATCCAGATAAATTTTCTTCAAGGAATTCATGCCAACAAAAAAATTATCTGGGATTTCACCATTGAATTGATTGTACGACAAGTAAACTGATATAAGTGAACTAAGTTTGTTCACACTAGGGATAGGACCTTCAAAGCTATTGTTCATGAAGCTTACTGTTTTCAGGGCAGACAAATCCATAAGTGTGTCTATATCGATTATCCCCATGAGACCCATGTTTGTTAAAGCCAACCCGAACACATTGCCGTTGCCATCACAAAGCAAACCAGCCCAGAGGTTTTGCGTACCGTTGCAGGGAGGTGCGGCGTTAGTCCAGTTGTCCAAAGCACTGTCGTTGGATAGAAATGATTTGAACTTGAGGAGGATGGCTGGCTCGGTCGGATCTGAAGACGAAGCAACGTATGATAGTACTAAGAAAACTAGCATGAAAAGCCAGTGATGGTGATCATATGTTGCTTTGTGAATATGTGCCATCATAAAAATTAGGGTTTTCCGTTTGGAAACTAGGGTTTGATAGAAGAAGAAGAATGGTGGAGGGATGGAAAATATGGGATACGGTTAAGTGGATGTGATGACAGAAATGAGTAGGGGAAGACGGAAAGGTAGAAATACAAGATTTGGGGGTGCGAGAATGACAAGGTTCATTGTTCCCTATGAGGGATTATGAGCTGGGGTGAAAGCCGGCATTAATATTCTAATTAAAAGATTTGGATTTGATTTTCCCTTGGCAATGCTAAACGTGTTTGTTTATTGTTTGTCTTTTGCTTGGTGTGTGCTGTTCGGTTGATGTTTTGTTCTTGTTAATGGTGTCGGGGAACTATTTCATTGTTGGCTCAGCCGATCGGATTCATATTTGCAAGGAGATTGTGGATGCAAATCTTCACCATTTTTTTTTAAACAAAAATGCACCTGCAAGATAATAACACTTAAGATTAAAGCTAAAAACCTCATGCACCCAGATGAATGAGGGGTTTTGTTCGAAGAATCTTCAATGCCAAAGTTAGAATTCTGAAAAGAATGTGTTTAGAAGTTTGTGGGCAACAAAAGCCTCGTGAATTTTGGATGGATATTTATAGGAGAAAAGGAGGAAGTGGGCCAACCCTCTAATGTAGATATCCTAAATAAATGGAATTAGGATTATTTACTTGAAATAGGTCTTCTTTGATTAGGAATGTATTTATGATAAGAATAAGGAATTATTCTATCATAAATGCCTGTGACTTTTCTACGAGCAGGGATGCCTTAAGCAGTCATTTATCTTTGCTTACTTTACCTCAACTGCATGTGGTGAATGAGAATGCTCCCTGCTCATTTAATAGGGCCAGTCTTGTGTTTCTTGGGAGATAATCTATGTGTCAGCTTAATGATTTTTGGGATTTTTTTTTGCTCCACGGAGCAAATGCCCGCAGGCTGCTTGCAGAAAGGACAAGAGGTGTGGGAATCCAAAGCTGCATAGGTAGAAATAGAGCTTATGTCCCAATTTGATGTAGATTTCCTTTTTGACTTGGAATTTAAATTCTTCTAGGAAAGAGAATGTAATTGCCACCAAAACTTATTTAAGTTTGTGTATTTTACCCTCTCCTAGGGGGAGAGCATGGTTGTTCTCGAGAAGGGGGAGAGGGAGGGTGCAATTCATGTAGTAAGTCCCTGATTGGGTGCGATCTTCAATGAGAGCAGAAGTAGACATCTGTTGCAGATACGTAATTGAGCCAATTGATGAATAACTTCGAAAATCTTCATTGAAAAATGAGATGAAGGATATCGAATTTAGTTGAAAGGTAGAAACTTGATAACAACTGGATAATCCTCGGTTTACGAGGTAGTGCTCGTCGAGCTACTTGAGTCTTCGAGCTTTATTCCGTCTGATCAGGGCTCAAGGTGAAGTGGAAGGTCATGCATAGTACTAACCTTGACGCCTATTTTGCCGATCTTGTACTGACCTTATCAGATGGGATCTATCTTTTTGGAGCCTTCTTTGCGGATAGTGATGAAGGCTTTTCTCGGACTAGGTTTCCAGGCTGAAACTACTAGATCTTTGCCTTTTTGTTGTAGTTGGAGAGGAGCTGTTACTGGGAGGCTGCAATGATGGTTATAACCTTCTTGCGTTCTTCCTCTGCCAGATCTAAGTTTGTGGCAATCTCATTTTTGTTCTGCTCAATGCTTGGTAATAGGGTGTTGATGCTCAACACGATAACATTGAGAAGGACAATTACTTCTGAATTGAATGCCAAAAAGAAAAGAGTTTCACCGGTTGCTTTTCGTTTAGTTGTGCGGTACGCCCATAAAACACTAGGAAGTTTGTCTGACCATTTTCCCTTATTATCTGATAGGGATTTCTTGAGGCAGTCGAGGGTTGTCTTATTAGAGGCATCTACCTGCCTATTGCCTTGAGGATATCTAGCAGTATACATGTGTTTCTTGTAGCCATATTTATGAAAGAACCTCGCCAAAGTTTTTGCCTATGAACTGCAGGCTATTGTCAGTGATGATAGATTATGAGATGCCATTCAGCAAATGATGTTCTTCCACATGAAATGCTCTATGTCTAATTGAGTAGTGGTGGTCATGCGCTTAGCCTTAACCTATTTGGTGAAGTAGTCGATAGCCACGATCATCATGTCTCTGCCCTTAGTAGTGGGCAACATAGGCCTTACCAGGTCGAATACCCACTACATGAATGGCTATGAGTTTGTTTGTGGGTGGAGCTCACTGGTAAACAGTGCATACAAGCTTAAAGTGTTGGAAGCTATTGCACTTTTGAACAAATTCCTAAGCATCTTAATGCATTGTGAGCCAGTAGTAGCCATTGTTAAAGACCTTTTGTGCTAAGGATCGACCTCTTAAGTGGTTTCCACAAACTCACTCGTGGATCGAGCTCAGAACTTTCAAGTTGTTAGGAGGCACCATGCAACGAAGATGTGGGCTTGAAAATAATCTTCGGGCAAGAAGTTGTTCCACATGTAGCAGCGTGTCGCCTTTATTTGGAGCTTCCTAGCTTCCAATCTTTTAGTAGAGAGTGTCCCATTGACTAGGTAGTCAATGATGAGATCTTGCCAGCTTGAGGTTGTATTGACATGTAATACCTTGGCTACCAGTTCTTCTTCTATGCTCGACTTTTCCAAAAACTTAATCAGGATAAAGCTTCTGAACTGGTTGTCCAAATGGGAGCCTAAGGTTACCAGGACATCTGCATGAGCATTGTTTTCCTAGGACACCTATGTAAGAGTGTAAGTCTGAAATACCTTAAGTTGCTTTCATACCTTCTCGAGGTATAGTGTTATCCTTGGAAGTTTTGTTACATGTTCCCCGGTAATCTAGCTGGTGATGAGTTGAGAACCAGAATGGATTGCGAACTTCTTGACTGCTAGATCTTGTGCCATTTGAAGGCCTACCAATAAGGCCTCATAATCTGCTTTGTTGTTTGATGCCTTGAACCTAGAGTGATTGCCTGCTAGAACATCGAGCCGTCTATGGTGATGAGAACTAAGCTTGCTCCAGAACCTTTGTAGTTGGATGAATCGTCGATGTGCAAGTGCCAAGAGTCTTTCTCAGAAAGGGATAGTTCGACCAAGGCGTGCTCGAGGGTGTTTTTGGATTGTATTGTTGTGTCTTCCAGGCAGAAGCAAACTCTGCCATGAAGTCTGCTAAGGCCTGAGCTTTTATCGTCGTGCGGGGTTGGTAAACTAACCCATATTTGCTGAGTTCCAATGCCTACTTCATCCCTCGTTGAAAAGCGTTTGGACCATATAGGATAGATTGTAGGGGATATTGAGTCATAACGACGACTGTATGTGCTTGAAAGTTTGCTTTGACTTTTCGAGCTATAGCAATTAACAACAAAATTAGCTTTTCAGTCTCGAGCGTCTTGTTTCCATATCGATGAGAGGTTTAGAAGTGTGAAATACTGGCAGTTGAGCCCCAGTTCTTCTTGTATGAGGGCAGAGCTTACTACTACATCTAAGATTGCCAAGTAAATGTATAATTCCTCGATTGCTTCTGACTTGAATAGTAACGGATGGGATGTCAAATATCTATGTAAGTCTTTAAATGCTTTTTCACACTCACAATCTCATTTGTCTCTTTGCACCTTCTTGATGACCTTGAAAAAAATGATTTGCATCGGCTAGTTGATCGCGAGAGAAAACGTTTAAGTGCTATTGGGCTTAGTTGTGAGCCAATTCAAGCAGTCTTCTCTGGCTACTAGGGATCAAAAATGATGTATTTAGCGTCCTATTCTAGCTTCCAATTTTTTTCTTCTGTCGGCGTGTCCTCTTGAACGTCATCATCTTGATCCGTCTGCTGTAGTTGTTATTTGGTAGCATGATTGTCTTTCTGAACCTCGATAGCTTTTACGGGGGTGAAAGACTTCTTCTCGACTCCTTTAGCATTTGTACTGTGCATCGTCAGGACGTGGCCTGGTCAGACTTCATATCTCCAACTTCTCCTCCCAAGATGCGGAATTGAATTTTCTGGCACTCGATGTAGGTTACGATGCCCAGTTTCACTAGTTAGGGGCCTTCCCAGAATCCTATATGAGTCACATTTCTGCTAAGGGCCTTGTCTGTGGTCTTAATGCACTAGAATCTGCGCAATTGCTTAGTTAAAAGCCTCTCTACTTCTTTATGAATTCGTGGTTGCTCATGACATAAATTTCCAGTTGAACTCGAGCCTGATTGTGTGGCTGGTTATTTCCGTTTGATGTGCTGCTTGCTCCGAGGTGAAGTGGAGGATAACGAGAATGAATAATCCTCTGCGCGGTTAGGTGGGAGAAGGCATTTTCTTGAGGGCCTAGGCAGGAGTGCACACTGCTTGATTGCTCGTCGCTCGGTTGGTGAAGTGGCTACCTGCCGGGACGCTACTAGAGATAAACGTCGTCGCTTACCCTTGTCTTACTTCAAGACACCTTGTCTGGGGCATGTTATATCTCGGTGTGCTGTAGGAGTTGATTCACTAACGTAGTCTGCTGCACGAAGGCGTTTGTCAATTTGGTGACCTGATGGTACATGTGTTGCTCGCCATTTGGATTAGAAGAGTTAAGATAGTAGACATTTACTTGAGTAGTGAAAGTGTAATGGACCCTGGATGCAAAGCTTGAGCCATGATGGGTCAGATCTGTAGAAATATGAGGTGAAAATACCTTTGGTTCAACCATCGGCCTCATGGATTTGGGCTGGTTGAACTAGTCTAAGACTATGCTGGAGGGTTATGATAGCAGGTCGGGTGCATGGACGCTGGGCCGCCTTTGTTTATCCTACTTGACTTCAAGCTGGAGGTGCGTCAGGCTAGCTTGGATTGCAACTTGCATTGCAGTTCGTGCGGCTTGGGTTGCCTCGGTCTGAGTGAAAGTGGTAGGCACCAGGGGTTGTTGTGGAGGCCAAGCAGCTACCTAGGTCTATGCCTGCTGGCTGCTCACGTCGTAGGCCTCTTGCTCTAGGGTTTCCTTTCATGCATGGAGGCTGTCCTGTAGGCCACTACAG